GGGGCGTGCGGTGGGTGCTCGTGGGGGCGGGGCCGGGGGTGGGGCGGGGGTGGGGGTGGTCTTCTAATATGTCCCTTAAAAAAAGCTATTTTTTGGCAGTGCCGACAACAAATTTTGGTTTCAGTCAATTTTACCCGATGCATCGTTAGTAAACAAGTTTCTTTTATTTATTTCTCATACGTAGAATGAGAAAGAAACATATTACCCTGTGGAAAAGACCGAAGTCATCGTTAGTAAGTGTTCTTAGAACAATGCAGACAACACTTCATAACATCTTGGTACAATGTCCAATAGAATTCTCTTTTGTAAAGAATTCTATTGTCACTGGTAACATTTAACCTTTTAAATAGCTAAATAACAGAAAGAAGAAAATAAAATTTTTGTTGCCAAATTTAATCAAGGAAGTTGTTTATGTTGAGGTTTGATCAGTACAGATGGAATTCATACCCAGTGAAATTTACCACAAACATAGTTATTGGTCGCAAGCTAACTTCAATGAATACGGTTGTCTTGTGAAGAAACAGTTTGTAGAACAACAGTAGTTGAATACACATTCTGCATTTTCTTTTCTGTCTGTTTCGAAAAATATCTTTAGATCGTATTAAAACCAGAAATACGTTCTCAGACTCATAAGTACTCACAGAACAAACTCTAACATGCATATGTAAAGTTAGGTTTTCTTCAATTATGAAAATCTGTTTTGGGATAAAGACATTTCTGAAACTCTAGAAGAAGGTAACAAATGAAGAAGCTTTTTAATCAATACAAAACGAAATTTTATCTAATATGTTACAATTTTACAAAGATTGTTTCGTGTGCTACACCTGCGAATGTGTACTCAGTTCACTAGATCTTATTATCATAAAATGGTTTTTTCGCATAGAGAAATCAACGAATTTTTCCAGAGTAAGCTGCAAAGAAACATTAAAATGACTCCATGATATGTTTTGAAAAAAATATTATTTTATAGACAGTTGCTTCCTATTAGCTGTTTCTCAAGATTTTTCTAACTCGGAACTGATACATTGTTATCAGGACGAAAATAAAATATTGTTAATACTGAACTTAGATATCATTATGGACTTTAATACTAAAAAAGTCACTAGATTCCAGATATTGTTTGTTGTTAAAAAAATCAAATCTCTCAGGTGCGGGGGGGGGGGGGGGGGGGGG